AGTAGTGTGTGGTGTACTTAGTAGTGTGTGGTGTACTTAGTAGTGTGTAGTGTACCTAGTAGTGTGTAGTGTACCTAGTAGTGTAGTGTAGTGTAGCGTTGAAGTTCAGTCGGTCGGAAGACGTTTACCTTTTTGCATCTCCAAGATGTCACATGATGTCACGATGATGTCACATGATGTCTCGATGTCACATGATGTCTCGATGATGTCACATGATGTCTCGATGATGTCACATGATGTCTCGATGATGTCACCAGGTGGTGGTGCATTTGGGCCGCCAGCGATGGAGGATCAGAGGGAGGATCGAATCAGACGACACGCAGTCCTGGGACGAAGAGGAGATGGTCTTCTTCCCACACATACACCACAACTTTGAGATCAAGGTAACACACACACACACACAGAATACCCATAATGCCTTCTTTCTGTAGGTATATTTACTCTCGTCCTGTACTTAAAGAAGGTCGGTCCATAATCTGGGTAGAAGTAGAAGGGAAGACATGATATTTACCCAGAATGCACTGGGCTCATGCTGCTGCTTTCTAAACAGCAGCTGAAGAGAAGAAAGCTCAATATTTACATATTCAAGACTTTTACTAATGTAAAGAACTAGAATACTGCTGTATTAGAAATACTCACCCGTGTGTCAGCTGACTCGTGTCTTGTGTCAGGTAACGGAGGCCAAGGGTTTGGGTTGGCTGCTGGTCGGCATGGTAACGTGTGCCAGCGCAGACTTCTTCGTGTCGAAACCTCAACTGATGCTGGTGGACGTCACGGAGCTAGGAACCATCAAACTCCAGCTGGAGGTCCGCTGGAGGTCCGAACACACACACACACACACACACACACACACACCACACACACAGAGCCTCTATATGAGTCCCAGTTCAGATTCAATCCGTGTTTCTGCTGCTCATAAACTAACAAAACCAGCTGTGGGACGTTTGAAGAGAAACTTCAGAATAAAAGACTCGTCAGATGAATTTAAAGCAGGACGACAAACTCCAACATGAGAGAAGTGAATGTTCCCAAAATCTAAATGTGAAGTTACAGACAGGATAAGAACTGATAAATGGAGGGGTCGAGACAATGATGTGATCTATAAAAGAATGTGTGAATCAACAGGAAACGGAGACTAAAAGGTTCATGAACAGGTTTCAGGGTTACTCACTTTAACAAGTACAATGTGAGGACGAGATGTTTATCACATTTAGGAACATCAAGCTACAAATATTAAAGAGCAGTAATGTTCACTGGTTTATTGTTGCGATAGATAGACTTTATTTCAGACTCAGGGTCCAGATAAGACAAATACATAAAATGACATACACAGACAATACAAGTACGGAGGCCTAGCAATGCCCTACAGAGAGACAGCTGTACCAATGTCTCCACAGCTGGACTGGTAGCATGTGCTACTAAACCTTATGTTGGTTAAAACCAATATGATCTCATTTTCAGAGTCATTAAGCCGACAAATACATTTATACATGAGATTTCTTAAAACCGTTTGAAAAGTATCGACTTGTTTCACTAGCACTCCTCCATCTCGGTCTCTTTAGTACTTATCTCATGGAGTACAGTATGCTCTGAACAGAGACTTCTTCACTCCATCTGTACACAGACCAGACTAACGTGACAGACTGTTTGTTGTGCAGACACCCTACGACATTAACTAGAAATGCCTTTATCATCATCATGTGTTCTGCTATAAAATGATGAAGATATTTTACTTCATCACAGACACCAAGATTATTATCAGCCAATGTGAAGTCAGGGAAGTTTAGACATTTGTCCTCTCTGGTTCTACAGATCAAGATAGCACTCTTACTGGCGTTGTATTTAATGTCCCCATAGACAGTATGTATATATATATATACTATATATATTAGTGCTGGGCAACGATTACAATTTTTAATCGCATGATTTTTTTACCTTTAGATATCATTACTATAATCTAAATATTTGTGTGTATTTGTACCTGCAGTCCCTTCGATAGTACTGAGAGGATGAGGCCGCTCTCAGTCAGCAGACTGTCACTGTCCAGCAGGAAGAGTTCAGTTTACAACTGGACGGCACCGAGTACTCCGTCCTTCACGGAGAAGTACTTCATAGTGAGTATACAGATACACACATACACGTATATTCATACATGGTCCTTCTTAACACAACATGTAGTGATACCCAGAATAGATGATTTATTTCTCTCTCCATGGTTCTTCTTCTTCTTCCTCTGCAGTCGATGATGCGAGAGCTGCAGGACGAAGAAGGTTCCCTCTCGTCTCTGGTGTCTAAAAGTCGACCAAGCAGAGGAGGCGTGTCTCTGATCAGCTACCTGTCCGACCCGTCACACGTCACACTGACCCACAGCGCTCAGAGTCCCTACAGGTATCAGACTCAGAGCCCCTACAGGTATCAGACTCAGAGCCCCTACAGGTATCAGACTCAGAGCCCCTACAGGTATCAGACTCAGAGCCCCTACAGGTATGTTTGAATTATAGATTTCATCTCAAATCTGTTCCTCCAGTCTCAGGCGGACTCACAGCTTCCCCTCCAGCCACAGTCGGGGCACCAGTCTGGGAGGAAGCCAGACTCAGCTGTCCCTCCTGGACGTCTCAGAGGAGAAGGAGACGTGGAAAAGGAGGGAGGAGGAGGAGGAGGAGGAGTGGGGGAGTGAGTTAGATACGAGGCAGACGGTTTCTCTACAGAGGTGATTATTTTACTTTAGTGTCGTCTTAATGTCTAGATGTGTACCTGCTGAATCCTCTCATCATAACACAGATTAATGGAGGTCTCTGTTTCACTCAGGTCCAGCACTCCTGACATCCTCAGAAAGAACACAGACCAGGACCCAGTCCAGGTTCAGGTAAAACCCACCTGGAGGCTCCACGAGAGTCACGACACATTCAGCTGCAGAATTCATCCCTGAAAATAAAATTCGCTTAAGTTTATTATCCTTCAGTCTTGTGTGAGTTTAAGTGTTTCCTCAGAGTCTTGATGACACTTGTTCTCAGGATCAGCACATCTTCTGCTTTTAGTTCCTACATAAGTTTAAAAGTGACATGGTTTAGTTTATCTACTTTGCACAATTCAAACAATAAAATATAAATAAACAAACATAACATAGATAAATAATATCACAGTGCAGGGAGAGGCAGAAAGCCAACTGGGCTTATTTGAAGCTTCCACCGATATAATATTCAAATTTCAGAATATTACAGAGAACATAAAATGAATATGCATAAGATGTGACTCCGTAAAATATTACTGACAAGATGTTTTTACAAGATATGAAATATGATAACAATATCAATACGTTACAAACAACAAAAGAATATGTAATTGTGTTGTGTGCGATGTGACTTTCTCTGTTTTGTCTCTTGTGTTTCTTCTCTCTGGACTCCCAATTTTAATCCCCCCCACGTTTGTTGCAGGACTCTGCCCCGACCCCCCCAACCTTAAGCTCCTTCTCTCCCGCGGCCGCCGCCCCCCCGCCCCCGGCGGTGAGCGGTGCCCAGCGCAGGGCCCAGGCCGTACGGGTGGGAGCCCTGATGGTGCAGCTGGAGAAGACCTTAAGGAACCAGAGCTGCTCTGAGAAGGAGCTCAGACACCTGGACCACCAGGTCCTGCACCTGGCCACCATCCTGAAGGTACCCGTGTGTGTACTTATACACACATCTGTACTCCATGTTTCTAACACGTGTTCACCTCTCAGAACAACCTCTCTCTGCTGAGAGGCTCGTCTTCAGAGGAGATGCTCGCTGTGGAAGAAGTGCTGGGCAGCTTTGACTTCCTGTCACATGACGACAACACTTCCTGTTTGGGCAGCCTGAGACTGAAGGACAGCGGGTGAGTAGATCACAGATCAATAATCAATACACAGCACGGATATCTGAACATCTCTCCGTTTTCATCCCTCAGCGTCAGCTCTCTGCAGCGGAGACTCAGCCAATCAACTCCTGAGGAAGAGTCGTTCATCGCCCCGCTAACTTCTGGGAATTGGGGTCTCGACCAGGCTCTTGAGACTCACCTGGATAGTTGTTGCATCCTGCTGCAGGTACGCTGTGTTTCTATGAGCTTCGTCCTCGTTCATCAACTTTTTACATCAGTGTTTCCGTCTTCTGTGTCTCTTTTCAACGTCCAACCATCAAAACGTCTCCTCAGATGATCACAGCGACCAACTTCAGCCCCTCCAGGACGGACCTGCTGCAGGAAGTGACTCTCCAAGCTGACGTTCTGCAGAGAATCAGTTGTGTGCTGCTGGAGAAGAAGAGCAGCATCTCTGCTGGAGACAGTGAGTCTGTTAGTCTGTCTGCTAGAGAAGTGATTAACACATGAAATCATGTACAACAGGTTCATTTGGTGTAGAATCATCCTGTTCTGGTTAAATACAGGGAAACATAACGAGATATCGTTGTGTTTCAGACAGAAACACGCTTCAGATTTACAGAATGTTGAACCTCTGATTCATTTCACAGGTTAAGTTAACCATCAAAAGTTTTACTGACGATGGTTCTCCTCCAATATTCAGTAGAACATGTGTTTCTAGTCTCTGATCTCTGATCATGTTTCATTGTAAACAACCAATCAGTGTTTAAACCAACAGGAGGAGAGCTAGTAACGTTAGCAGCACCGCTAACGGCT